GACTTGCCACACCAGGAAACATTGACATATGTGGCAACACCGCCTCCGGTCTTTTTTCCTGCAGTTCCACGATCCCGCCGGTAAACTTGAAAACCATCTCTTGACACTAGAGAGTCATCTACGTCCTCATTCAACCAGGANGGAGGACACTAGTTAAGTCCGACATTTTGGGAAACAGGGACCGAGTGTTGGTGCTGACCAATGAGGGGATAGTCATCTTTGACAGAGGGGTGCATTACTCTATCAGTAGCATCGGCACTGGGTGGGAAATCCTGCATCAGATCACTACTAGTCTGTGGTAGCGTTAAATCAGTTGTGATTGGAGTGTTAATGATCAATTTGTGGCCAGGTTAAAGCGAAAAGCTTAGACCAGACGATTTTGTGCGCATACCACAAGTGCGAAAACGCGAATGCCCCTCTCCTCACCTGTGGCCAATCTATGTAAAAGCACCACTTTAGAGAAGTCAGAGGGTACAAGATAAATGTCAAAAACCGCGGATTCTGGTCTAAATTTACTGCGTGTGTTCATCATAGATGACCAAGATTGGTGCTTCCGGCTTATCTTAACCAGTATGGACAGTGTTCATTCATCCGTTGGGATAATTGCTTCACCGTGCAGTCGAGGCACGTTGCAGTACAAATGCACCCGAATGAGAAGGTTACCATAGAAGCAGCCATCGTAAACAGCTAGCCTTCGGGGCCGGTTCAGTTTTTAATGTATCATGTATTAGTCGTACGGGGAGGCAACCATCCCAACGGATGAAGGAACACTGTCCAAGTTGGTTAAGACATTCCGTAAACTTTGGTGTGATTTCTTCAAACAGCAATTAATGGTTTTACAACTGATTCGTATTGTGAAATTTTATCATGATTACGAAGTTCTAAAATAAAATTCTTTTCCCATCCTGTGACTTGTTTATTACGTATTCCGTAGGATGGCTTAGGCTGTTGTGCACGATTGGATCAGAAGCCAACTAGTTTATACAACTGACGGTAAAGAACATTGTGATGATTACGAATTCTGTTCAAGATCTAATTTGTTGCAAAGCATTCTTATTTTGGGCTCTCCTGATGCTAACGATTTCTTTGAGATTTAATATGGAGGAGATTAACAAATTTGAAAATCAGCAGCAATTTAACTGTTGTTTTATTGTTCAAACACCGCTGTCTACGTCACATTGCACGAATCTGGTAGGGTAACCGGACGAGCAACGCTGGGGTTAGNTAGGAGTAGCGGTTTAGGTAATCGCAGTCGTCCACTGGAGCAAGTAGTCGACCTTCATTGATTACGCTGACCGGGACATGTGTTACGCATGTCACTAGATAGGTTGCCACGGCAAGCGATGTTTACTGGATGTCGAAAACAGTGGCACTGATGCATCTACTCATTATTCTTATAAGTTCAATCTATATGAATTCGCTCTCAATATTCCAATCTTCATTTTGCTGGTTTATCCAAATGGGCAATCTAAAAACAGTAACCAAAACCGGCGCGCAAACGTTATTGGTTGTAGGAGCTGAACTAACTGATGTTAATGCTAATACATAACCTAATCATGGTATGTGGGATGGTTACCACCTCTTGAAATATTTCTTTTCCTGTTTAACTCGTGATTGATGCCTTTAAATAAAGGGCACCAATTTAGAGGATCGCAGAAGACGAGCCTGTCCCTCAAATGAAGCGTTTGTTATCATTGAGACGACTGTCCGATTAATAGCAAAAAATGAATCGTCTGCTCTGCTCTTTCTCGAGTTTTTCAGAGCAAACTGGTGTTTTATACCGCGATGGTTTGACTTGCTCGATGCTAAAAGGTAGCCGGTTGAGTTTAAACATTATTACGTATCAATTGGTTTTCTGCGTTATTTCGAAAGACATTCCTTTATATTATTCTTTAAAAACCGTCAGTTATTAGTTTTAAATGTTTGCACAGAGGAAGGATATTACAAGTTTTCAATTATGGCTTTCTCTCAGCAATTGCCTACCGTATCATCCATGTATTGCTTTTTAGACACCGAGTGCATTGCCTGCTGAGGTTGATTCAGCTACTCCACAAACAGAAGAAGGGTCTGGACAATCCATATCTGTCACGTGTACATCAAGCGTAACCAAAGACCACCAGGAGGAGGACGACGAAGAAGAAGAAGAACCAGAAGAACGAACTAGCTCAGTTCCGTCGGCTTTAGCCGTATCGTCCGTGGAGAACGAACAAACAGTCCAGCCGAGCGAGGTAGTCGATCCCGCACTCGAGGAAAACAAACGTAATAGTGCGGCTATTTGTATTCAGGCTCACTTTCGAGGCCATCTTGCTCGAAAGAAGTATCGGGTGACCGTAAACGTAGAGGAAGAAACTACTGTTATTGAAGAAACTTCAACAGAGGACGTCTCAGGTAGTGAAGCAGCCCCTATTGCGCCTAAATTAAAGTCCCCCAAGCAGTCAAACCAGGACGAAGACGACCGGTCTATCGAAGAGCTTCACACAAAATCAGACGAGATTAAGGCAGTAACAGAAATACCAATAGAAATTGTATCACAAAACTCGCACACCGAGGGCAGCACCCAATCGACAGATCCATCAGATACAGGTGTATCATCACCGGTGCAGCAGACCAGTTCAGAGATAACCGATAAACCGGACGGCACTCATCCCCTAAACCCGGCCGATTTGAGTTCAAATAGAACAGACGACCCCGCACATTCTCAGTCGGTAGAACAGGACCAAGAAAGCTCCTCTACAACACACGATACAGAACAGTCCGGTGAATCTACCGAAAGTGTTGAACAAGAAGTAAGTAAATTCATCACCCTAATGTACGATTATAATTGCAATAAGTTGGCTTACAAGACAATCTAAATCAGAAAGGATTTCACCCAATCCCAAATGATGGCATCATTACTACGTGTATCGGAACGAAGCAAACCGACTATACCTAAACAAAATGATCATATAGTTTTCAGTGCTTGTTGATCGCCTTTATTGCTGTGTCGTTCATCGTTCTACTTCCTTTTTATGGAACATATATTCGGATACAAACAATTTTCACGAAGGGTGAAAGCGACCAATCAAAGGGCTACCGTACAACATATCAAAAATGAGATAAATTAGGTTGTGGTGGTGGGATTTGATCCCGCGTCCTTCAGGGTAATATCCAAAACGACGTCCATCAGCAGTGGCTTCCTGGCTTCTAAAGTTTATTCATGCAGTTTCCTTTTTTCCAGTTTCACTTACTGAACTCTTAAATCTAAAATTGAAACGAGCACCGGCACTTTACTATTGTTGATCAACGAGGAATGAGAAAAAAAGACATCTGATTTCGGTTTCGACGATATAAAAATCGATGCTATCAATTCCGTGCTTGCTCAAACATTCCCAGAAAGCACACACGCGGTGTACACAGAATATTCTACAAAACTTTTTTTAAGGGATCTATGATAGGTTTCACACAAAAATACATAGGACTGAGGAATACTGTGTGTAACAAAAGACCGAATGTGCGGGACGAGGGTTGCACTCATCACCCTCATCATTTTGGATGCAGTCCTCGTGTTACTTGCAGTAAAGCGTGAATCTTGTCTGTGTGCGTACTCCGCATTCAACTATCGCAAATGGGCGGATAATTTTGAATCCCATGTACTCAACATGTGTACTTCAAAGTTCTGACATCTAACGAAGGGTTGAAATAATTAAAGCAAAGACCCGATGTGTTTGGACTGAATAAGATGTAAATTCGATACAGCAATACTCGGCGTGGCCATTTCACTGATGACTACTGTCAGGAAGAAATGGTGATGGTTGTGGCATGCGCTTTGTCAAATCTATGGCTACAAGCCAGTTTTGTGAGAAAATTGCAAACCATGATTTTTCCACGAAGCTGAAGAAACAGATATCCGAGTCTTTAAGTTCAAATATACTACTGCGGCTTTTTTTCTTTTTCTTTTTAATTTACTTTTCATTTTAATTCATTTTATTGAATATATCAAGATGCAATTTTCAGGAAAGGGGAGGCGACCAACCACACAACTGCCATTCAATACACAACGGAGAAAGCCAGGCGGTGGTGGTGGGATTCGAACACATTCCCGGGGTGATAATTTGGTGATGTTAACACCGGGTAGATCAGTCTATGCAGATTCTCACTCGGGATCGTGTTTCCAGCATCTGTGTGCGATTGAATAAAGCGATTCAGAAAGGGACTGGAAATTGTTTCGTGTATTCCGGAGTTTGTCATACGTCTCTACTAGCTCGTCAACCGGGCAACTATCATTGCTGACTTGAAAAATCCACAGGTCACATGAGCTATTTATCACACCCACTTGTTTCTAATTTTGTAAACGTTTCTTCTTTTTACCCTATGTTTAACGTTTCCGTCACTGTAGCTTCTCGGAAGTGCTGAAAATCCACCATGTTGGTTGCATAAACCTTAACTCGACTTGGCGAACTAGAGCACATTGTGCTAACGTTATTTACCGGTAGAACGCTTAAAGAATCGGGTGTGCTATTATCATCCTTTCGCCTCACTAATCCCAATTTTGATAATATACACTACTGCGTAAACAACCGAGTCCCATGGCGGTCACAAATCTTAGTTATAAAGATGCGTTAAAATCTTGGACCAACATGGAGAAGCTGAACGGCAAAATAAGACAATATTGGGATTTAGATGGTGAATGTTTGAATTAACCCATTCGATTTTTCACAGGCACCAGGCACTGTTGATGATGTAGGTTGTGGGTTTCACTCCTTGGGATATCGTTAATTCCCCGATGTTTGTAGACATTAAAGTGCGATGGAAATGTTTGTGATAATCAACAACAGCACTGGACAACTGTTTCGTCCTGTTTGGGACTCATCAGCGGTGAGTACTTTTTGTTGGGATTTTCTGTACACCGTATCTGAGTTGTTGAGTACATAATGTGTTTCACGTTTTAGAATACGAGTTACATCTGAAGACGAAACTAGTCGAGGTCCGGAGAAGCTTTCAAAATTTTGGCAAATAAGATCTCTCTTCAGGTTCTCATGTTCAATAGTTTGACCATTCATACTGCTTTCTTTTGAACGCAAACTGATCATTTGATGAAAACCGCTCTCGAGCGGGTTAGATGTGGTGTGTGCCTTGTTGGATAACGGTAATCTTACCAAGTGAGCAATTCTGCATAAGCTAATCGGTCATGCTGATTGGGTGGCATGTTGCAGAACCAGTAGTTTCAGTAACAACGCAGGAGTTTCTCAATCTCAAAAAGAATCCTATACTTTTCAAACACCGGGGATGTGATAGAGACCGCTGCCTTATTTGCTGATCATCGTCATTGTATGCACCTAGAAGGCTTTTCTTTTATCGTTTTTTTTTCTGAAGAAAAACATTTAAAGAATAATTTTCACATCACCGTTTGCAAACCTATTGCCACTTTCGTGAAAGACATGTCCAATCCGGAAGTCGACATCGACCTAAAGGATCCAGAAGTGGAGAAGGCTGCGCTGAAAATCCAGGCCCAATTCAAAGGGTTTAAGTCGAATAAACGCGTCGCGGCAGCTCAGAAGCCCGTATGTCTCCGCGCTGTTCTAATCCTCTCGGTGTTCATTCATTCAACTCTTAATCGTTGTCCCCGTTTTGGGCTTTCTGCGTTTGTTTGTTTGTCGTCATGTGTTCCAAATCTCATTCGCACATGGGATTGGTATTCGTGTGAACTAAATTTTGCCACTTGTAAATCTTTCCTTTTTTCCTTTTATTTTACTTCCTTTTATTGAATATACAAATATACAATTTTCAGGAAGGGGTAAGCGGCCAATCCAAGGGCTGCCATTCAACACACAATGGGGAAAATTAGGCGTTGGTGATGAGATTCGAACACACATCCCCGGGGTGATAATTTGGTGACGTTACCGCCGGGCCATCACCACCATACAGCGAGGCAATTAGTGATCGTACATACAAGAATAAAACTAATCATAAATATGCTTTGACATTGTCTGAAGTAAAGTATGTCAGTTTATTCTGCTACCCTTGTCCACCTGTCGAAAAAATCTCTCTTAGCGTTTCGTTGAATGTAATTGTGATCGGCGCTATATATATAACATTTTCACCAATGATTTTTCAGCGATAGATTACCGATCACCCGGTATGCTCCCGTTTCAGTCAGAGCTCTACCTTCAGTCAATACCTGAAGTGTGGTTCCACTGAGGTGTTTCCATTCTGGTCGTGTTCATTTATCGAATAGTACAACATTTTGTTGAAAGCGTAAAAGTTGTAACGAAAGTGGACCGAATAATAGAATCTTTGAGAATAGCTTTTAACAACGTCATTCTAAAAAAAAAACCCGTTGCCATTCACTTACTTTAGTTATAGACTTTAGTTTTTAATCGTCCCACACACACACACGCACAACCCGCACAATCAAACTCATCCGTGGGGCGCTTTATGAACAATCGATGAATTGCCACCGGTCTGTCTATCTTTTACGCACCTCTATTTCCATAAACTAGATGAATTCAGTGAGCCTATGGATAGTCAGATATTTTATATATTTCACACACTCTGCACCTAAAAGATGTCTCTTTGAATTTTAATTCCGTTTTTCGTGTACGTGTTTGTGTGTTTGTCTGTATGCGTGTGCATGGTGGAAACGGGCAGTAATCGCCTACAATGGTCAACTTATGGCTCATTTTCCGGCGGCATGTCATCTTGTCCTCGAATTTGTTGTTGTTCTGTTCCGTCTAACTGTCGCATTCTAATGGCAAACGTCTAGACTCAATTTCTTGCTACACAACCGTTCTCTCTCTCTGTTTCAGACGGACAAAAATAAAGAGCATACAACAGAGAGTAAGAGTCCCCGTAAGTGAGACGCCTTTTTGAACTACTGCTTCACCGCTTACCGGCTTGGTCTCCAGATTGATTGCTTGATTAACTGAATTATGATGAAATTCGCGACTTTGTTTGCCACCAAACGTACCAGCTGCACGAGCGATACGAATCGGATCTGGGAATTGGGGGCAGCGTCAACAAGAACAAGGCGTGTATGGTTTAATGAAGTCTATTAAATTCAATGACAATGGGTGTTCTAGTATCGTATTGACTTGTAACAAGCTACTGACGGCCGAATAGTGTAAATCAAGTGTTCAACACTTCGGATTACCAGTATCATCTTCCGGTGCTCGAACTTAATTACATTGGGTGCAATGTTCTCACACAACTTTTGGAACGTGTAAACTTCGGCAGTGTTCGTCAGGCTGTCTGAATCGCTGTTATTGGTGTGCTTTGGATCTTGAATTTCCATCATCCCATCACCCCTACCTTTGGTGGTAGGTAGCTTGGCTGTCGTTTGGTTGAATACCGCACCTATCTAACGGGTATTCGCAACTCCAAGCTCTGAGGCTGAGGTTACCCAGACAAACAGGTAGACGTGCCCAAAAGCACGATGGTGCTTTCCATAGCCTGTCCTATCCTTCAACGTTTTAAGTCGATCGCTTCAAAGACTTTTAGGAACCCAGTTATAAGGAAGCTTCATCAATGTGACATATCCTCATGACCACAGTGGAACGTGTATGAATAAGGAAAGGTTGTTTCAGGTTTCACTTTTTGCAAAAGATTCATCGCTTGAAAATCCTGACCGTTCTTTTGAATAACCCACCATAAAAATCAACACAATCCAAGGGTTGCCATTCGGTAGACATGAATGCTTCACGTCCGGACTCTAATTGTTTGAAAGCACTCTCCGAACCACGAGACATCATGACCGCAATCCATGACTGGCTTGTGCGCTGAATACTGCCAGGTTTCCCAGGCCAATGCAGGTGAATTTTCTTGAGGAATTCACAGCCGGAGCCTTCGGTTAGCCAAAGCCTGACCCGCAAGGCAGCTGGGCGGTGTGCGAAAACCGCAATCCACTGGGGGCCGATGTCCGGTTCATTGGATTATACGCCCTTCGGACGGGGTCAGAAGTCCAAGTTGCTCATTACACCTCGATGCCCAATTGAGCCGGTGACCACTGCCACAACCGGGAGAGTGTGTGGTTCGTCCGCCTCCTCTTGGTTGGTTTTAAATCAGGGTTTTTATCTAACTCCCCTAGGTGAAATGCCAGTGTTCCACCAGCCCAGTTACAGCCCCGGATGTCGGTTATTCGTCCTCTCCCTTTGATAGGAAAACACTTCCGCCACGAGAAGGTAGTGATGCTAAGTAGATATTCATTTGCAAGTATCTTCCAAAATTAGGCCTCTACAGCATACAGAAGATTTTGTCTGGCAGCTGTATCACTTACTCAGCTTATAGAAAACATGGCGATCTCTAGCGGACGCAATAGATGCTTCAATATTCAAATCCTCAGATGAAACGTCTGTAATCGTAACCATGATTTACCTGGAGTAATATCGCTTCGTAATCATTAAATATAGTCTTTACTTGCTGTATCAACCTCTGGATCCAAACAAAATTTAGAATGTCAGTCGTCCAGTGGTAGCATAAAGCAACTCAACTGTAATAAATATAAACCTATAGTAAACAAAGAATGCTATATATAAGGCCTCAAAACAATTCCGAAAGGTTGTACCCCTTTGTACAATGTTGTATGCCTGATGCCTTAGTGTCTCCTTTCTGGAACTTTGATAAAACTGTTTTTAAAACCATAATGTGAATGGAATCCACATGCGGCGACTAGGAACAACGGAGGTCTTTAACGGAATTCGTACCTTTGGTGCTAGTCAGTGATGCTGTGCTTCTTGATCTGGGTTTCAATGTTGTATACCGCTTTTTGTGTGAAATTATGCTGCGCATAGAAAAGAGGCTATGACCCGCACCTAATTGCAACCAATGATTTCATGTCATTCGGCCACATTTGTAAACACAATACCCTGTCAGCACTAACCAGTCATTTGTCATTTCACTGTTGAAGACCTCAACAACAAATATCCTGTCCTTTTAGTGCGTCCAAGCGACTAGTCGGGAGAAATCATTGTAGATTCTAAAACTTTCGCGCGTCTGCAAACGAAACAAACATAAAATTGAATTTTACTGTTTTTATAGCCGATTCACACTCACAAAAGCTCTATTCAGCCGCAGTACGTCAAATCGTTTGTTGACTGACTTTCGGTCTGGCAGAGAATGATTACCTCTGAAACTTAGCGCCTGCATGTTCGTGAAAACTGTGCATGCTCGGATGCCTGGTGCGAGCAGAGTGAGACTTAAGGAAAGTCTGGAAAAACGTAGTGATTTACTGAGATAGATGATGCCGGAGACAGCATCAATCAACATTGCGAACGCTAACTACCCCACCTAAGACAGTCCATTCTGCGTTCCGATTGACATTATATATATATATTGCATGCATTCCAAACAACGCGGAGTTTCGAGTTTTTTTTAGTTATACTTATTTTGTCTCAGCTTAGAACTGGTATAATCCTCACAATAACATGTATGCCAAGCATCAATTAGTGAAAGAATAAATGGGTTGATGTTTTAAACCGAATGCCTTCCATTATGTGATTTTGCTTACTCTGTGCGAACCCACATCCGCAATGAACAATGCCCTACGCACCAAATTATAATAATACCGAACAAGTGATATTCTCAGCCCCATACTTTACATACCCGACATCTCCCCACTACGTTTAAATCCACCTACTATTCCAATACTGTACCATCCGTTGTTTTAATGAATTACCGCTCTCACTGAATTGGTGCATATATTTCATTTCTTACTAAGGAATTTGAGGCAACTAAGCAGCTTATGTGTGTTTTCTTTTAAGGTAAATTTAACTGAAAAATATACCATCAAACTGAACACAGGCAGTTTACAATTCATCTGACACGTAGGGCTCACAAATTTAAAAGTAGATAAGCGAACCCAGTTAGAAGGAGGCTAGTTCTCTTGATCATACTTTACCTATCGGTTGATTGGACTGACTATCCTTTGGACTTCACCGTCACACACAATCCTCAGTTCATCGATTCAACCATACACACGGAAGCACTAGACTACTCGAGTTTCGCTCTTATTAGAGCTCATCGGTATTTCATATGCACCTTCCCATCCGGGATTTGAACTCCGGACCCATTGCATGGGAGGCGTGTGCGTTACCATCGTGCCAAACAGCTTATGCCATGACTGAACCGCACTGCCAATTCATGTTTGTTCAGGTGTCGTCTTCAGTGATAGTGAGTCAGTTCATTTGGCTCGACAGCAACGAAGGGAGACACAGATGACAATCTGCTAACTCCAATCGAAAGCCTCTCATCAGGTCAGGATTTGCATGCAGGTTACGGGCTTGCCACAAATCTACCAGAATAGTCAGTTAAATCAATCGACTTCAATTAACCCACACCGCTACTCACAATTAACTGTGAGTTAAATTTAAACTCTAACTTTCCTCGATTTATATATGAATTGCACAAACATTTGTTATTTGCTCATATGAAATATCTGATTTTACTTCGATCTTTTGTGTGCCGAACATGACTTACGCGAATAGGTTTGCGTATTGTTTGATTATCGCTAACCACGTTTGCTTTTGATCGACCATATCGATTGACTATCCCATTCCTTTTCTCCCTCCCATGCACTCATTTTCCCTCACTGACAGCCTCGGAATAAATAAAGTGATCCTCTCCGTTCACTGTGCTTCGTCTATGTGTGTGCGTGTGCTTTGATTCCTCCGGATCTCATCCTCTATCATAACTGTTTTAATCAAATTGCTTTTATCCTCTAACGGACATGCACCGGACAATAGTTAACGTGTCACCCCGTGTGCTATTACATCATGGATTCACCCCGACGTGATTGCCCGTGGCGTTGTGCTAGAGAGCAGGATAGTATACACACTCAAGAAAGTGCATGTGATTGTTTTTTTTCATTTTTCTCTATTCTCTGCCTTCTGATACTTTCCATCATATTTCTGTTATAAACCACATCTTCTCATCGTTTTGTTCCCTCTGTGATGTACTCTTCATCGTCAACCATACACGTTTGTCCGTTCCGCAGTCCTTCACACCCGACTGTTTACTTTTCACGACCCATTTTACTCCCTAGTATTGTCACCCATTTCTACGGTCCATCTTTATTTAGCGATTGAGTACTATCGCATACATTGGTATTCCATGTGCTTATTTACGAAAACACGCTTCCCGCTTCCGTAGATCTGATTCACTCACGTGTGATCCATTTGCCTCAACTATTGCACGATACTCCAGTGAGTCGTTTGTGACAAAATGAGTAAATAAATATGCGTAATACAAGCCCCTGTTGTTTTGTCTAAAAATACTCTGATCAGCATTGTGAGAGAATCCTACCCAAGATTGCTTATCCCACTTGTATTCACTGGAGTGGAAAACACAACGGATTGAACTACTGGGTGTGAGTTTATCGTAATTATTGTTACATATTGCCACTACATATTGATTGATAGCTTAAAACCAGCAGGGGCAGAGCGGATGATTGGACTCCAGGTCCTCAGGACAAATTATTCAAATAAGTGGACCATAGTTATGAAAAGATCATGGACCTTAGTTCACTGATTTTGTTCAACTCTCCAAAAGTCTAAAAAGTTAAATCTGGTAAAGCTATGTTTGAATTTGAAGGGAACTTGGGCAATTGGATTTCAACTCATTTCTGTTGTCCTTTTTAAAACCACTTGAGAAACAACAAGCAGGACAATGGTGGTGGTGGTGGTGGTGTTTGGATCGCCACCACATCTGAACTTTTCACACAATTTTATATCCCTTGGTGTTCTCTGATTGACTGTTTCTCCCCTCCCCATCCTCGTCCGGGAAATCGATTGTTGAATGTGGAAAACGGAAGTACACGCTTGAATTCAATACCCCCAGAACTATAAACTTGATGGCTGCAGCCAAGAGAACACAGCCGCGCTCGGGTTCTACTTTATCTGTGACGGAGACTAATTAAATGCAGTAACCAGTGGAGGCATACATTAACCAGCTGAAAAGTACAAAAACCAATGTGTTTGTAATATTGTAAGTATTATCAACAGTCTATTCCTACGTAATTGAAGATTGGGAACAAGAATGGAACAATGACGATGAGGCACTCAAACTTACTTAGTGCCGGAACCAAGGTGATCCCTTGGTCTCAGGTGGGGGCTTGCATTTGCACTCTAGCAAGTTGAAGTCGCAACGATCCCTAATCGGGATCGCTGGGGGTGCAGTTTTTGACAGTGGGGACGTCCACGGGCGATCTCTTTTTGGGTCGGTGGTGGCCAAGTGGTGTTAGGTTACCAAATTGTGACCCGGAAGTTCCGGGTTCGAACCGCTCCACCACCGCCCGTCTTCCCTATTTCTGCATTTCCACAGGCGGCCTTTGTATGGCCGCAGCCCCTTTCCTGAATGTTGACTTTACATTTGTATATTCGGTAATTTAAAAAAGAAGTAAAAATACATTTTATTTGTATTATTTATGTAACCCATACAACTAGTATGTGATTCCTCATGGTAGGGCAAAATTCTAGTAGAAAAGAGAATAAGAAGAAGCTATCTGGGGAGCCAATAGAAATAAATTCACACAGGCCATAGGGATGCGTGACCATAAGGTGTAATAATTGTCGCCAAAAAGTGTGTTGTGGACAGTATCGATGTTCATAAAATGAAAATCGTGGTTGTACCATAAGATGAATCAAAAGTGTTTTCTGTTTTTATTTACAATCTTGAGCGAATCATTGTACGCACATTCTGTGAATTCCGTTACCAAAAGTACCTCAAACTGAACTAAACCTTTCACGACCAGGTTTTATTCCTCATAACTTCAGATTAAGATCGTAATTTGAGCGCGTGAAATGTTTCCTGTGGTTCCTCCCTCCATAGGACTGTCAGTTTAAAACCTAATGACATTTCTGTTTTTGCAATCGAATATTAGAATAGATTGCCGTCCACAAATTTGAACTGATCCAATTTATTTTGGGAAAATATTTT